GCAGACAAAGGATCTCCTTGACGAAGACCTTGATTAGGAGAAAATTCTGTCGTAGTTGATCCATTCCATAACAAATTCATTGTACATGACGAGACACAACACATGATCAGAGAAATAATATTCTCAGGCAAACCAACATCCACAAGCGTGTCTTTCAGAAACTCCCAAGAAATCTTGTCATAAGCCTTTTCTAAATCAACTTTGACAGTCATCCAACCCTTATCTCCTCTCTTTTTATTCATGGAATGGATGATTTCCTGAGCCACAATGATATTATCCGCTCCTTGTCTACCCTTAATAAAACCACATTGATTAGGCATAACTAAGTGAGCCATATGAAATTTCAGCCTATTAGCCACAATCTTAGTTACAGTTCTGTAAATAACATTACAAAGGCTAATAGGTCTGAAATCTTTAAGTAATTCAGGCATATCAATCTTAGGAATCAGACAAATCAAAGCTTGGTTAACCTCTTTGATATTATCCGGATGAAGAAACACACCTTTCACAAAAGAGATAACTGACTCACCCACCTTATCCCACTGAGATTGAAAGAAAAGAACATTAAGCTCATCCTTCCCAGGCGACTTGTATGGACCAAAAGAGAAGACTACATCTCTGATCTCCTTACTGTTTGGCATAATACTCATCGTGTCTAAAGCATGCGCTTCAATAACTGGAAAAAAGCCACGAACTGGAAAAGCCGGTTTAGGTAATGGATCTTTTGTGTACAGATTTTCAAAGAAAGAAACAGTCATTTCCATTAAAACCTGTTGATCAGCAATCCAAACTCCCTCAGAGTTTTTCAACGTATCTATGCGATTCCTCCTACGTCTGGCAACCGTCACAGAATGAAAGAAACGCGAGTTCCTATCTCCAAGAGCAAACCAATTCAATTTCGATCTTTGAAACCAAGTAATTTCCTTTTGAAGATAAATCTTGTCTAGTTCCCTCCATAGATCATTTTGCAACATCTCAAGGCTATGACTGTACTGATAACTAAGACATCTATCAATACCTCTAATCCTTGCATGCAAATCATTCTTTCTTTTCAGAGCAATCCTATAAACATTTCTATGCCATTCTGAAGCATTAATCCGAAATGTCTCCATAGCATGCATCCAGTTTACATTGTTTGACCAACATTCATTAACCACCTCATGAAAAGTGCTCTCTGTTAACCAGGACGCTAGAAAATGGAAAGGATGCTCCCCTCTCGGATAAATAGCAGGTTGACCTTCCCATAATAACATTGGTCGATAATCTAAGCCAAAGAAAGGCAAGTTGAAAGCCACACGGTTAGGGAAAACCAAGTTCCAATTATCATTAGCGCAAACCCTATCAAGATGTTCCTGAAGATTTCTTCTTTGCCAAGTGAAAATAGGACCTTGATTGCCAATGTCAGACAAGCTACATTCATCTAAACAATCACGAAATTCCCTCATGCTATTCCAGTTATGCCCATTACCACCTAGCTTCTCATACTCATACAAATAAGTGTTAAAATCACCTGCTATCCCCCAAGCTGCATTCCTCATGGACTGATCAAACAGCGAAGAAAGAATTTCCCACAGCTGAATACATTCCTATCTTCGCGGACTTGCATAAATAAAAGTCATGAACTCCTCTCTATTTTCTTTTACCCAACAAATTTTAGTATGGACAAGTTGGTGATGAGAAAAAAGAACATCCACTGAAACTTCATCAGTGTTCTAAAGCACCCAAATACCGCCAGAAAAACCAACAGCATCACGATGAAAGTGACCAGAAAAACCAAAACGCCGAATAGCTCTATCCGCCATAACACCACTCAATCTGGTTTCTAACAAAGCCATAACTTTAATACTGTATCTATGAGAAAGATCCCGAATTAGAGGCGGAAAACTCCTTTTCCCAGCCCCTCTAAAATTCCAGGTCAAAATATTCATAAAAACAATCTTAAATTTATCCGAACAGAAATCGGCCCTAAGAAAGAGCTTTGGTATAGACCGAAGTCGCACCCAAAATGTCCAAATTATCCAAAGAGATAGAATCCTTGTGAGTTTGATAAAAATTCCTCTAACGTAAGAGCATCTGGTGGTCTTCCATGTTTACCTCCATTATCCAAGCCACTAGAAGAAGGAAGAGTCACTTGCTGATCATTAACCACATGAGACGTCTTCCTCTGGAATTTAGATAAAGAAGGGTGCAAGACAATTTGTCTATCTTGGAAATCCTCCGACATATTCTTCTGAGAATCAAGTTTAAAATTATTCTTTTGAGATTCTGCATTTTTTGAAGCATTTAATCTGCCTTTGCTAATATTAGCATTCTGGACCAGCTGATGAACTTTAGCAGATGATGCAGTTGCTTTCTTCTTTTGGTTCTGTTTGAATTTTACTCCTTGACTTTGGACCTCTTTTCTCGACTTGCCCGCAGATAGGTTAGCAGATGGAGAAACTGTTTCCATTTGAATATCCTTTTTCACCAACGGTTCTTCATTATGAGCAATTAATTCCCCATGATTAATTCGTGTCAGACCAGATTCAATGCTGATTGAATCAATCACTGAAGAATCAGAAATAATTAAGATATTATTATCCTTTTGAGACAACTCGGCAATAGCTTGAAATCTTGAACCTGATTGAATGACCTGTCTGTGATTAGGATGAGAATTGGAAACTGTCTTATTACGTAACGCTGCATTATTAACAACGCCAACTTGTCTCCTACCCGATGGTAATGATTCCTCCTTTGATTGTGCTATGCTCCTTGATTCCTCCTTTGATTGTGCTATGCTCCTTGATCGACGGTTACGCTGCAATAGCATCCAATTCCCAAACGGTTCCTCCTTCGCCGGAACAGAATCTTTTTCCGGCTGCTTATGCACCACCGAGTCAGAAACTTCAGGAGAATAAGTCGTAGTATCTTGTTGAAGATTACTATGGGAACACTGATCCCTTCTATGCCCATACTTTCCCCAAGCAAAACAAACTAAGTGGAGACCCTCATATTCAACATGGAAGATACGATCAGCAATCCGGAATTTGGACAAAAAGCCTTTCCTAAGATCAACTTCGACACAAATTCTAGCAAACTTTGCTCTCTCTGTAATATCACCTTCACCAGAATCACGTTTCCTGATAGAGTTCCTATCAATCTTCAATGTGCGACCAAAAATACTACCTATATTCCCCAAATGATGAGAGGTATAGAATTCAATAGGAAGTCCTGGAATACGAATCCAAACTGTCAGCTTTCTGATCTCATCATCATAAGGATTAAAAAATGGACGCCACCGTTGAACTACCACATAATGATCAGCTATGATCCAAGGACCATCCTCCAAAACATGAGAGTAATCATTCTTATTTGAAAATCGGAACAAAAAGTAGTCATTCTCCAGATCAATGAACTCATATGTGCCTGAGATATTCCAAATTCTCAGTAAACGATTGAGTAAGAATCTAACTCCAACTTTCTTCCCCAGAAGTTTCACAATCACTGCCTGTCTCCAAGGTCTGCAACCTTCTAAATGCAAGGCTTTTGGAAAAGAGTACGTTGGGCAAAGAGGATTCTCCTCACCATCAACCGTAACAAAGACCTCATCCCCTTCTTCGTCGTCCTCTTCCTTACGTAGTTTTTCTACCCAATCTTCCTCATCACTATCAGCAACATGGGGTCCTCCATTAAAACCAAGAAGAGAATCTTTATATGACACCAACTTCCTCTTAGATGAATCACCTGACTCTTCCTTCTTTTTTCCCCCCGTTGCTAGTCACATTCACCTGGATATCCTCCTCTGCCATGTGATCATCCATAGGTTGATCTTCCATAGCAGGGCCTTTAGGTTTTTTTGTGCTTCGATGGAGAAGATCTTCCTCCTCCGTCGTAGCATCTCTCGCCTCCTTGCCGGTTTCTCTCTCTTCACTCATCTCTAAAACCAAAAACCATTATCAATAAGACAAAAAATATTGAAACTTATAACAATTACAAAAAAGATGAAAAACAAAAATTAATAATAATAGAAGAAATTAAAATTAAATATATCTAAACTAAAAAGAAGAAAATAGATTAGGGACAAAAAAAAAGAAAAAAAAAACACCAAATATGCTGAAAAATAGAAGAAAAAGAACTCGGTGTTATAAATTTTTAACATATTTGATTATATTTTTCTTCTATTTTTTTGTTTTCAGTCTTTTTTTATTAGACTATTTTTATTTTACCAAATATTTTTAACATATTTGATCTTATTTGGTCATATTTCTTCTTTTATTTTTTATTCTTTTTATTCTAAATCTATTTTCTCCTTTTAAGAAAAGTAAAATAAACATATATATATATATATATATATATATATATATATATATATTTATAAAAGTGATTCAAGGGGGAAAAAATCTTCCATCATAAAAGAGCTAAATTTCTATTTAAATTTTAGCGATTTGATCGGGTAAACTCGAGCATTGTTCAGCCTCTCCATTTATTTACTTTTAAAAGTGCTTGAGTGGTTATGAACTTGGAAGCATATGATTACATGAATATCTTCCAACAAATTCCTTAGTTTTAAGTTTTGGCAAAATGTTTCAAGTCCGAAATATGACTCAATTCATGAGGCCTACTAACCTGCTTTATCAATTTGCATATGATTACATGAATATCTTCCAACAAATTCCTTAGTTTTAAGTTTTGGCAAAATGTTTCAAGTCCGAAATATGACTCAATTCATGAGGCCTACTAACCTGCTTTATCAATTTGCATATGATTACATGAATATCTTCCAACAAATTCCTTAGTTTTAAGTTTTGGCAAAATGTTTCAAGTCCGAAATATGACTCAATTCATGAGGCCTACTAACCTGCTTTATCAATTTTAAAAACTCAATTGCATTAAACTTTTAGCTAATGAATGGACTTGAACATTGAGTTGATCCATCCGGATCAGGCGAGTCGGGGTTTTATTTATTTATTTATTTATTTATTGCATTGTTTGTTAATTAATGAAAGAAAAAAATAAATAAAGGAAAGAAGGAAGATTGTTTTGATTGAGAGAGAACAGAATATATACAAAAAGGGAATGATTTTACAAAAATGGAATCCGAAGAAGAAATTAAAGGGGTAATTATTAATATACAAATTGGTAATTAATTAACAACGAAGGAAGGGGTGGCTCAATAGCTGAGACGCCGTCGACCGGTCGCTGGATTCCTTCTTCAAGCAACACTCAATGAAGCTCCGAAACTCCGACGACGCACCATCCGGCAACGTCGGTGGATCCCCGAAACAAATAGCGCACATGAGGGTGGCCCAATCGGGTCTCTGGCCCATCGGAAGAAAGGGGAAGTGACCCACGTAGAGCTCGAAAAGGGTCAAACCCAGGCTCCAAATATCACCCGCATACCCGTTATAGTTCCCGCCATAGGAATCGGGGTCGAAACGCTCGGGGCTCATGTAAGCGCACGTTCCCACGTATGAATTGCAAGCGTCAAGTGTGCGGCACATCACCTTGCTCACACCGAAATCCCCGATCTTCACCTCCATATTCCCCTTCACAAGAAGGTTCGACGGCTTGATGTCGCGGTGTATGATCTTGTGCGCGTGGAGGTAGCTGAGCCCGCTGAGCACCTGACGCGCCACCGTCGCCAGTTGGGGTTCCGAGAAGGTGCCGTTGTTCTTGAGCAGCGTGTCCAGAGTTCCCAAATCCATGTACTCCATGACGATGGCGATGTCGCCGGAGGGCTTCTCGAAGAACCCGTGGCACTGGACCACGTGAGGGGAATCCGTTCGCCGGAGGATATCCATTTCTCGTCGGACCTGGCGTCGGGTCAGTGAGTCCGAGTCGGCGTGGACCACCTTGAGGGCGTAGATGGCGGAGGTGCGCTTGTGGCGGACTTTGTAGACGGTGCCGCCGTTGCCGTGGCCGAGAACGTGGAGCTTTTCGATGTCATTGGGGGCTATGGCGTCGGCGGTGGAGGGTTTGGCGGCGGAGGCGGGGGGAAGAGGGAGAGGGAAACGGGGACGGCGCTCTGAGAGGTCTGGGAGGGGGAGACGGAGGTTGAGGTGGCGGCGGTCTCGTACAACTGCCATTGAAGATGAGGAATGGAATGAGGAAGAGGTTGAGAGTAGAAGACAGAAGTGAATAAGAGAGAGAGGTTTATAAGAGCTGAGTGATGAATAGGAGAGACGGCTACGGAAATTAAACAAGGAAAGAGAGAGGATGTACCCTTCACAAAAGGTTAAAACTTGATAAATAATTATTAACACTATGTGGCCACCAACTTTTTATATTTTATTATTTTGTTATTTTCCATGTGACTGAATAGCCTCCCACTAACTATTTTTCTTTATTATTAGTATATTTAAAACAAATAAAATAAGTGATGACTATGATGTGTGCCATGGCCCATGGTTATATCAAGATACATTGTAACAACCTCAAGATTCACTTTTTAACCTCAAATCACTGCGTTCAATGTATTATTACAAATTATACTATATATATAATATAAGTAGTATATGCTCAAATAATATATATTATCGACAGAATATAATATTTTGTAAGATTTTTTAAATAAAAAATTTATACATAACAAATTTTTTTCAATAAACAAATCTGACACTCTAATTAATATGTAAATAAAGTGAGTATAAAATGTACAAGTTAGAAAGAAAATACAATCAAATGATGATAATTCATATGTTAGGAAATTGAACGAGTAGAAGTAAAAATATATGTTCGATCTTTCTTATTATTTTTATAAAAGATTTAAAGTCTTAATTTCAGAACTCGTTTTGAATCGTACTAATCGCAAAATAAATAATTATTGAAATATTTTAAAAAAAAAACACGCAATTCATATGAATGATACGTTGCACTTGGGTTCGTGAAAACAACAAAATGATGACATTATATAATAGATCGTCATTTATTTATTGTTGGCAGAGAAAAAATTTATGCCGCGTGTTAAATTGAAATCACGGTTTTTTTTTTTTTAAATCTATTTTGATAATCTATACATTTTAAATAGACTTGATCGGACGAATATACTGTATATCCAGAGACCACAAGAAGCCAATAAGGCAAGGACGCCTCTTGTGAGACACGGACAACTTTTCAAAATTATTATTATCATTTCAATTCCTTTGTTTAACCATGTTTCGGACCAATATTCCAATAGCTAAGTAGAAAATAACAATACATGTGTGTGTAAGAGAGAGACACAATGCTTCGCATGATCATATAATGAGAACAATATCAAAATAAAAATCAAACAAGAACAACTGGTTGTTAACTATTACTGATAATGGTAAGAACATGCATTGTTAAATAATTAATTAAATAAAATTATTTATATCGAAGCATGGATTTGATAAACATTATGCATAATTATGACAAGATAAATATTTAAAAAGTCGAATAATGCTTAAAGTTGCTTTTCAAATGAAAAGTGCAGACACCGATTATACTTTGCACTATAAATACATACCGGTGAAATATCCCGAAAATTATAATAAGTACATAAATATTCCTAAGAAAATATCTTGGATCAGAATGTAAAGTTTGGGGTAAGAATGATGAGAACGGATGTCAGAACTAATACCGGCTACATATAAAACGCGTACCGACAAATTGCTGCGAAAATTATAATAAAAATATGATAATTTCTAAAAAAAATAGCTAGGTTCAGAATTTAAAGTTTGGTAGCAAAATAATTAGCGTAGCTATTAGAACTAATATCGATGGATTAAGCCAAGTGTACCTATAAATATGATGGCACATTAACTTAAGTCTGAAACCTTAACCTCTCTACGTGAACTTCTGAAGCTGTCATAGTGCTCTACCTTGTCTCCACCTTCTCACTCCGAGAAAACCTTCAAGAGGTCATCATTCCTCTTGATTTCTTCACCAAAAACACTAGTGTGGATTGTGAAAGGCACCTCATTTCTGAGTTGTAGCCACTGTGTAAAGTGAGTGAGGGCTAACTTCATTGGTTGTTGAGGTGGGAGTCATTTCCTTTGTATGTGGTGATTCAAGGAGCCATTTATTGGAGTAAATAACCAAGCTTGTGAGATAAATTCGTGGTTTTATAGTGGCAGAACCATAGAAGGGTGTTTAGTGCTCCACGATCATCCATTTCCTCTATTTTGGAAGCTTGGTATACATTCTCAACATTTGGTCATAAGTTTCTATGTTAAAGGTTAAGTCTTGGCATGTAAAATGATGTGATTGAGTAACCAACATGAACACTGGTCTAAATGTGTCTAAAAATGCATGCTTGAACGTTTTGAACCATTAAAAATGATGCCTTGGAAGGATATATTCGCGAAATGCAGAACTGCGTTCTGTCGTGAAATATTCGGATATTGATATCCGGATATGGGGTTTGTGATATCCTGATATGATATCCGGATATGGGGTTTGTGATATCCGGATATAGGGTTTGTGATTTCCTGATATGATATCCGGATATGAATATCCGGATATGTCCTCAAGGAATACCTGGATATTTTTAGAATTTCGTGTTGCGAGCTGTTCTGTCCGAACAGATGAGTGGATTGGGTTTTTGAACCCTTAAGTGATTAATATGAACCTCTGTAATAAGTTAACTAAGTCAGAACCACTTAGATTGAAGGTTTATGGCTTTGAGGGAAGCCTAAGGTCATTAAACAAAAAGGGAAAACATGGTCTTAATGTAATGAAATTCTAGATTATGAATATTGATAATGTTTCTGGTATAAACAGACTATGATTGTGTCGTTTGGTGACCGTGGACTTGTGTGGACTCTTAGCTGGGATTGTTAGCTTGACAGGTAAGCTTTCGCGTCCTCAGTTTTGTCCATTGTTGGTTCCACCATACTTCGTGGAGGGATGATTTATATGCATTATGTGTTTTCTGAAAATATGTTATAAATATTGATATGCTATTGAGCTATTTTATGAGTGCAAATGACATATGATATGTATGTGGTGTTCCACCTAGACGGTAATCCCTGAGTATGTGGAGACATACACGATGGTAACTCTGTGGGTAAGGTACAAGAGAGAAGCCTTGTACTGTGGGTTGTAGACGTACGTAATTACTATCTTTTATTCTCTGGCCAGTAGGATGCATACACACATGACATGGATATATGTTGCATTGCACAGATTTTTGAAATTATATTGTTGTTATCTTTTGGAACTTATATTGCACATGTAAGTGAGCTTGGGGTGGATAGATCCTTGAGGACCCCTTGTCTTACTGAGATTTCTTTTTAGAGATCTCACCCCGTATGAGGCACATTTTCAGGTACAGATACCTTTGAGGTTGAGACCTCTGGCGGCAGGAGGCGGAGTTGAGCTGACATTATGCATTCTGCCATATTGACATGCCTGGATATTGATTGTGCTTTGCTATTAGTATATAGTTGTATGACTTGAGACATGATTGATGTTGCTTTTTGGTGAGCATGGAGGTTGTTCATGCCACGTTGGTATAAGCCATGTTTATTTCAGACTTGAGTTATAATATTGTATCAGGATATTGTCTGGTCTACGTGTTATAGTTCCATGACATGATACACTTTTATGCTATAGGGTTATTCAGTGTAGTTATTTATTGCAATTTACATACAGACGTTATTTTGAAAAAGAATAAGTAAATCCATTTGGTTAATAACAAATAGTTTCATAATTGGAAAATTTTAGCTTCCTCGTTTATTGAGCTGAGCTATTACCATATGTATGTTTAATACACCGGGTGCACACGGGGTGTTACAATAATAGTGATAATATTAACAATAAAAGTTTCTATTATTTATGTTTTGGACTGGTTTGGAAAGGTTCATTAAAGAGTCACTATCATGTTTTCTCATAATGAACACATATACTTCATTATAGAGGATCTCTCATTCCTGTGCACAACTCATTTATTGTACACGTTGATGAAACAATTCCCCACCCACAATAATGGGGTAATTGTAACGTCTGGCCGCTTCAAGAATCAACGACTATCCCCACATACTAACACGAGACTTTTCAGTGTGCTTTTTCCTCACTCGCACACTTCCTGAGAAAACTTCCCAGGAGGTCACCCATCCCAGAATTGCTCCAAGTCAAGCACGCTTAACTGTGGAGTTCTTTCGTTCTGGGCTACCGAAAAGAAGATGCATCTTGTTAGTATAGGTAGTACCAATCAATTCTTATGTTATTCCAAACTGTGCAATCTCACCCCTGCACAGTCTTTGGAATCCATCTCTTTCGAGTGTCGATTCGATTCATTCGTGCATGTAACCCCCACGCTGGAAGCCTGTCAGGAGCCGCTCCTTGTCCATACCTCTTTGCACCGGCGATCACCCCCCGCCCTCGTCAGCGCTCGGGATGTTACAGTAATGGACAAATCAGTTATAACATTCCTCACTCTTATCACTAGAGAATATTTTCCACTTATACATACTTATCTTCATCAATTAAGTAAACATCTTGTATCCATACATTTTATAAAGCTATTATCCTATTGAAATATAGAGTCATCGTGCTCTTACCATTCCCTTTATCTCAGTCATACCTGATGTACACACCTGCAATGACTCCTCAAGAGCGTTGGTTCATGCCACGCCCCCAAGAGCACTCATATAGCAATATACTTCCCCTTTTAAGGAATACAAGCCTAGTTTTACTATCCAAAACTCATTGGCACCGTATGTAGTAATTTGTAAATATGTATTTACAAATTATGTACTTGCAAAGCTAAGCAAAGCCTAGTTTCTACAAGTTTATGCGAAAATGGTTTTGATCAAGAGAACCTAGCAACCCAGAACTGCCACCCTAGAGGGCCATGTTAAGACCCTATTTGAATACTATGTTCCATTTATTCAAGCCATAAGACAGGAAGTTGTTGTTGCACAACCAAATGCTCAGGTTGTTACTACTGTCGTTGGCCCCATCATGGAAATTCCAATGATGTTGGTCCCAACAACTATGACCATGATTGAAGAAATAAAGTGGGAGATCATATACTTCTATCAAGCTGTTTACCAAAACCATGAGCAGCAGCCACAAGTCGAGACTCAAGCTGAAAGCCATGGTCTTGCGATCTCCTTATCAACAAGTTAACTTAGCCAGAAAGAAAGCTGCCTTTGCGCAGCAAACAATTATTGGTTGCGCTGCTCAAGTTCACCAATTAGTTGGTCAGGTTGTATCGGCCAACAAATAAG